AAGAATAGCGGACATAGGCTCAAGAGTTCATCTTGCCGAACCACTTTAAAATCCTTTTTGCCATTTACTTTATTGCATTCATTATCTATTCATTGTTGGTTATCCGTAATCACGCACACATCAGTTTCGATCCTGCCAAGGTCAATCAGATCGCTTTAGTTGGTGCCGATTTCTGTATCAACATTTTGGCGCTAAAAGGAGGGCCTCCGCCAACATCTCAGAAATTCTGTCAAACAACCACAATGATCTAACCACTTCAGGCCCACGATGGTGCGTACAAGATAAAAAACCACCACCAGAAACCATGACGATGTGGAAACCACCCATCAGGAGGTGCAACAGGATGCCGCTAGGCGTCAACCACCATTGCTACCATCTCAGCATGCCACAAATGACCAGAGGGCAGGAATGTCAAACCCCGAAAACGGCCAACTGGTGGAGATGATTAGAACTATGGTTGCACATGCGATGCAACAAAACGTGGCTGAGTTGAGAAATCAATAACCAATTGCCCATAACCTTGACTAGTCGTGCTTCACTGATTCCACCCTGACTGGTCAGACTTCAGTCGAGGACCAGTATGGCTCATCAGCTCCAAGGGGCGACCAACACCCCCGACATCAAAGGGTGCCCTCCGCTCATGAGCATGAGTCACACGAGCGAACTAACCCCGAGAGGCGGCCAGGGAAACAACCAGTGGGTGAAAGTGAAGGTAATGGTTGCCCACAAGATGCTTGACCTACTTGGCGAAATCCATAGGATCAACGTGCTGGCCTTAACCCACACCCAAGACAAGCTTAATCCTCGCAAGCTAGCAAGACGAGAAATTTGCGCCAATTTGGCAATGATCGATGTTCCGATTATAACTAACATCATGAGCAATGCATTGATGAGCATGATAGCATCTATCAACCAAGCCATTATGATTCAACCTCGCGCATCAATGTGCATAATGCAGGGGGTTCACAAGTGACAGATTTGCAAACTCACTTGCTCGAGGTAAGGTTGAATAGAGCCAGCCAAGGCAATCACAATGAAGACTTGGATCGTGTGCAGAAAATGTTTGACGATCCAAGGGCCTGCCAGAACGTTGCGACCAAAGAAATAATGAGTTCCCCCTTCATAGAGGAGGTTCGCCAAGTCTCGCTTCCATAGGGATTCAGGGCGCCAGAGAGTAAGTTTGATGGGAGAGGAGACCTTAGCGAAAACCTTGACAATTTCAATGACTTGATGGAGCTGCACCAGGTTTGTGACCTAGCAAAGTGCTGCTGCTTTGCAGTCACAATGGTAGGGGATGCCAAAAGGTGGTACAAAAGACTTAAAGCGAACTCCATCAGTTCTTGACAATAGTTCTCTTTGCTGTACTTGTAGCAATTTCAGGCGAAGAGGGTCTCAAAGATTGCCACCCATTTGGGTGGGGGATTCTTCCGAGAAGAATCCCCGAGAACCATCAAATTGAGTTGCGGCGCATAAGTCTCTCTTATGCGCTTTAGGTCCTCGACATTAATCGAGGATCGTGGTTCCTTCCACAACCTATGAACTGGAGCCCGCTTGGATTGAACCAACTGTACTGAGGTCACGTGCATTTGTCGTCTGGCTAGACGATTTCCTTGGAAACCTCGGGGATTATACCCTTGAGGATTACTGAACCCGCGGGTGAATCAAACATGCTATCAATCATGTGATTGCTGGACGAAGACATAATTAAAGCTCGCTTTTGGGTACTTGAAATAGAAGCGAACATGTGTTAGAGCTCAAAAGACTCAACGACCTATCCACACTTTGCTTTCAGTTCAGGCACCTGAGATAGTTCGCGCCAGATGACAAATGCAAGTGACTTATCTAGGATTTTGGCGGCCACCGCGTTAAACCCTCCTTAAACCCAAGACCATCAGAGATACGCTTAAAAACCCTAGTAAATCCTTAGAAGGTTCAATGTGGCCACGATAATGGCCACCCTTAGCCGCAAAAACAGAGAAAGCAACTAAAGAGACGGAAAGAAGCCTTACTAGAATAAGAGAATGGGAAGAATTTGTCAGAAAAAGCACCGTGAGATGATAAAGCAGCAACAGAATAAGCAAAAGACGTCAAAGAATTTTCACAAGTTGAGTGAGTTTCTAACGACTTCATTGGTTTTTATAGTAGCTTGCATGGGAAACGAAAAGGTTGGGTTCGATCATAGTCGTGGATCTATAGTGAATCTCAACCCTCCATTTATCGAGCAATCCTAGCCCTTAGTCATGGCCACGGGTCAACCAACTGCGAGGGGCGACAAACCATCTGACTGTTGTAATTATAACTGTCGCCGCACGTTACCTTAACTTCGCACGTGGATAGCTGTAGTAGCCCATGGGCGACGAAATGTGACTGCCAAAGGTTGTCGCATTTAATGCAGCATGACCACGTGGAATTTACATAATTGTCCTAGCCATTCATATTCCATGTTTGTCAAGTATCACAGGAGAGAGAAGATCCAAATGTGGAGTACATCGACTGGGCATGGGTTTGACCCTTGAAGCTTGACCGAACTTGCGTCTGGAGACCTACTGATGATGCCAAGCTTGATATCAAATCGAGTGATAGTTTTTAAAGCCCAAAACGAGCATCGAACACTACAGGACAGATGTTGTGTGTGATTTTTCCACCAAGCTCAGAGCATCGCAAGGATATAGTTCGATCCAGAACCAACTCGACTCCATGATTGTCCGACCTAGCATAAGCTCGTCGAACTATAGCTCAACCCAGCACAAGCTAGTCGCGAATAATCCGAGTGATCGTTCAACCAATTCCTAGATAACTTCAGATCACAGATATCTCGGGAATGATAAGATTGACAACAATCTTTGTGCAATCACATCACCCGCGAGAATATCAAAGTTGCATTTCAATTTAATTGTAATCCCTTTATTTTCGCTCTTTCATTTGTACAAACTTTGTATATAAACCCCCTCAAATGGCGAGGAAGGGGTTGGAAAATATTCCTAGAATTACTATTGTAAACTCTCACAGCAAATACAAAAAATAGTGAACGTAGGCTCAAAAGTTCATCTCGCCAAACAACTTTAAAATCTTTTTTGCCATTTACTTTACTGCATTCATTATCTATTCATTGTTGGTTATCCGTAATCACGCATACACCAATTCTAATCTCGCTAAGGTTGATCGGATCGCTCTAGTAGGTGCAGATTTCTGTGCTAACATTTACTAAGAAATAAATAAATTTCTTTTGGGAAAAAGAAAACGTATAAATACTCTTTGGATAACTGAAATGAGACATTAATCTTCTTCGATATGGAAATCTTTTTACTGTTAACATAAGTGAATTTCTGAAGGGTAGTAGTGGTGGCAGACAGGTGGTGACACGAGAAAAATAAAGTGATACACCACCAATTAATATTTGTGATCAATAAAACCGTTGATAGATGGTGCAAGGTGTAACCCTCATCTACTTCTTGACAGTAACAAAAAGCTATAGTTAACAGTTTCAACCTGTATATATTTAATTAATTAATGGTAATTACCGTTGTTGAGTATAATAAGAATTGCATAAATGCCGCCATGCATTCATGATCATGGCTGTAGCCAACATGCACTCTCACTTTTTGTGCATGCGGACCAACTCTCTCATGCACCTCATCATTAAATCTTCCTTTTTAGTTTCATTTCAAATAAATTGTATTGTTTAATTTCGTTAATGATGAGGGTTAAAGAAGTAAGCAACGAAACCCTAAAAAATGAGCAAATCAATTCCATCCATCGTCTTAAAATGCATTGCCTTTGTGTTATAGAATCTTATGAAGCATCTGGGTAAAACTGCAGATCACAAGCAAAGACCTAAAACAGCTGCTGCTACGCCTTCGGACCACAACTGAGAGTAAGTTCAAAACTAGGAGGTTTTGACCACAAAATAGAAAACAAACAGAAAGAAAAAGAAGAGTTTTGACCCAAGAGAGAGAAAGATAATTGAGTTAGTGTGAGTGTGACAGACAGAGAGAGAGGCCACTGGCAAGAAGGGACAGCAGATAAAGGTAAAGAAGGATGATGATTGAAGTTTAGAATAAGAAAAGGATGATCGAAAAGAAAGATTGTAAGTTTGTAACTCTTTCAACCAGCCAAGTGTAACTGTGTTTGTATATTTTAAAATTTTAATGCAGTGTGAGTCACGTGAGAGAGAAGATCGGATCTTGATCATGTAATGTAATGTTTGTCAAGAGAATAATCAGAGATCAAGAGAAGATCGAGCATCTCTCAGACCAAAAAGTTTTTAAATTTAAATAATCAAAGAATGATATGAATCCATAGGGCGTAGGGGAAGGAGAAGGTGTTTTTGTATTTGTTTTGTTCTGAGTTTCAAAACACAAATGATGAGACCGACGAAGATTGTTATGATGGTGATGGGAGACTCTCTTTTCCAGCTCTACTGCCATGTGATGACTCTCTCTCTGTCAATTACCCTGAATCAGCATTTTCAAATGTGTCATGCCATGCAACTGTTCATGTCATATCCATTATTGCCAATCAAACCCTTCAAATTTTTAGGCCCCGCTTCATATCATAATCCATAAATCACTTGATCATCAATATGTTAACACAGTAAATCTAAATGCCCTTCATTATTTGATTGAACTGTGCTTTAAATAGTTTGTATGAGCTGCTTTGACTATAGAGTAAAAAGGTCTACTTTTCTCCTGGTATTTAACTTCAACATGTATTAGTAATATAGTTTATGAGGTAAAAGACTTTATATGAAGCAACTTTTTTGTTTTGCCTTGAATGGTAGTCTGCTGCCTTTATAACCAAACCAGAAAATTAAAAGATATACCAAATACACCTGGAGAGAGACATAATTTTGACAAACCCATAATTGCTTGATCACAAAAATCTTATGTACGTCTCTCTAATTTGGTTATTACCTGTCATTTGTAGGGTCTTTTAATTAAATATAGTCGTATAAGTGAGCCCCTCTATCCATGGTCCTGACATCGTTGCAATTAATTGGCACCATAAACTCATCAATATGAATGTTCCATAGGAAATTGGAGTGAAGCTTTATTAATACAACATGACTACTGGTTGGGAGCATTCAGCCCCATCCTGAATGCGTAACATCACCACAAAGAACATATTTAGGGAAAAGGGAAAAATAATTAATAATAATAATAAACCTGGGTAAGGAACACTTATTTTTGCCATACTGCATATCTGTGACCAGAAGTGGCTAGTGTCCATTCTTTGCCAGCAGGGCACCATGAACCATCGCCAATCTTCATGCACAATTTCTCCCCAATTATTGCTGAGTAAAGATTTGGTTGGGCCTCCAGAATCTTAATAGATGATCGAGAGTGGATTCCTTGATGCCGACGAACGTTCATCTACATCCAAGTTTAAGAAATATTACGAGAGAATTTTATCTCATAAGATAGATTTTATTGACGAACAAAGCTCTGCAGCATACCAATTTAACAATTTGGTCGTGAATGGGGTCACCCCAATCATAAAAATGGTCATAAAACACTGTTGGGATCCCTGGATGTGTGAGTATGTATGTGTAACCCTGCAGGAAAATACAGAGACGAGGTGTTAATAATTTTACTTAAGAAATTATTTTCAATGTGCAATTGATGCTTATTGGGATGAATATGACAATTAGTTTTTCGAAAGAAGTAAATAAACGACAGAAAATATGTAAGTACCAAACCGTAATTTGGCACGGTATATTTCTACCAGCCTTATGATGAGATACAAAAACTATACTTGAGACAAATCCTTGGAATGAATACCATTCAAACTTTTACCAACAAATTACATGAAGACAAGAATGTCATGTACCTCCATGATATGATTCGAGGGGAACGGCCAATGGGCCTGCAAAAAAGATGCAATTATAGAGTAAGTTGACTTTATATTCTTATTTAAAGCACAAAAAGCTTGATATAAAAAATAATTGATCCTCCATTACAAATACATATCAAACCTATTTTAAAAGATGAGAGAGAGTTTAGATTAAGAATTTAAAATGGTCAAGAATCAGTTCATAGTTGACCCAAAATTCCATCCAAATCTCCCCTGTTTGTATTTACTTAAGAAAAGTGTAGACCTTAGGTTCAAATTTTTACCAATTAAAAAGACAAAAGTTTAGAGAAGGAAAAATTTCAATTAAACTTTAACTCGCCACAGCTTTCATATCAACTGTTAGGACATAGAATGCCACAATTCATGCCGTGGCTAGTCCCAACCTAAACCACTCACGCAAAGAGAATCAGTTAAGTATTGACTTCAGTGGGTATTTCTAGTCATTCACCCTTGCAAACTAGAAAGAGGCGGGAACCACAGAAATTGGGTTATTTTGCCTTGCAAATATGCAGTGAATGCAAATAAGCAACATCAGAGTCTACTAAAAGCATGCCAACAAATTTGTGGTACCTGTGTTGAGCCTGTATCATGGTTATCAAGGAATGTGACAGCCCTTGAAGGCCACCATCCCATTACACCTGGGGGCTTCCCTTGAGAATCACGCAGACGCCAGAATTGCCCCTTAACAGCTTCCTACATGACAATCATGAATAAGCATCAGCAGATTATTGGCTTTCCATAGGAGCGTAAGTCCATGTGGCAGCAAACATTACAAAAAATTATTCTTAGGAGACTGGTAGGAACATTGCTTGAAATGTTTGCTATGCCTTTCTATGTAATTCTACATATAAATTGTCCCTTGGAAAATACCTGAAGAATTCCCTTTGTGGTGAAGTCAAATGCAGCAGAAAGCTGTCCAGTTCCATCAATCCAATTGATAATCCGTTGTCTATGGCTATCTGCAAATGAGCTTTGTGAACAAATGGAAACAGACATAAACTAACCAATAGACTACATATTTATGATAAAACAGTTCGCTTGCAGCTAAATTTGAGATCTTTTGTGATCTTTAAATAGAAGAAAGAAGAAATAAAGCACTAACACTGAACTGAGCCATGATAAGTCATGGTGAAAAATTAGATCCAGCAGATGGAATTTACAGATCAAGAGATCAATATCAGCACCAAATCTCCTAGAAAGAAGTATGTGAAGTGAAGAACAGTGCACAGTGGATATTCTAATACTCCATTTAGTTTATGCAAAAAATTTCTATGGTTGAGTAATTTTCTTCGCTACGCAAGGAAGCAGGGCTTCTATTAGTAGAAGATCCAATCTTCCCCGGCAGGAATCCAACTTACATAGCACAAAGTTCTATAAATGCAATTTCTCAAATGTAAATATATCATCACATTTCAGTCCAGAATTCAACTGACTCTGTCCCAAGAAGTACATACTCCTTTTGGTGCAAGATAAACATAAATGATGCATACCTTGGTTATAGTCCAAGCCTTGACCATTATAGTTGCAAGAATCCCAGTATTCCCCAACACAAAACATGGGCTTTGCTCCTTCAATGTATTCTTTTACATATTTAGCTGAGTAACTAATCAGAGCATTGTGGAAACATAAATATGAAGCTGTAATTAAAAACAAAAAACAAACAGCAATTTACAGGTTCCGAATAACATTACCCTCGTGCAAAATCAAAACGGAAATCTTGGAAACCAACTGTGTTACGCACCCACTTCAGCCATCCTATAATGTCTTTCCGTACAAAATGCTGGCTATGATCAATATTTGGAACGCCATGAAAGTTGTCCCCAGTGCTTCTATTGCCCTAGAATATAATATGCAAAAGTCAGATGTAAATTTATGGCCAAGTCATGTAAAGTGGTAAACATAACTACCCTGATCACCCATCCTATTCACAATAGTACAGCATAAACAAAAGGACATAGGTGGGGAGAGAGTATAAGAAAAGTAAATATGAGACGCAATAAAAATGTTGAAACAGTCCAATCATATGGGTGAGACCATTTAGCCAATGATTTTCCAAAAAGAGAGGAAAGCAAAACACAGAAGTTCTGAGTCCCATCAGCAAACTAAGAGGTCATGCATGACATTGTTTTAGGAAATAGTTGTAATGACTCCGTCATCGTATCAGTCATAAGCAAGGTCTTTAAGTTAAGAGGTAAAAAGTTCAAACTAATAGGAAAAAAAGTTTGCACTTAATTTCACGTGCATCATCTGGAGGCCAAAGCTATTTCTGCAGCAACCTTTCATATATATTATTCACAGTAAGTGAATTAGCCTAATTTCTAACTTATGAACAATAAATAGGCAAATGATGTTTTATGCATCACAAAGACCAAACATGAGGCATCATGGAGTTACAAAAATAAACCTATTACGAGCATCCTTACCAAACCACCTGTGCAAGATGTAACTGCATGCTCACTCCACGCTAATGGAATACCATCATAACGGTTATACTTTCCTCCATGACCTTGGACAGTACCAATACGATGATTGATAACTATGTCAGCCATTGCCCTAACTTTGCTCTGCTTCATTTTTTGTAGTAAAGATTTGAGAAGGTGCTCAGAACCATATGAAGAATTAAGGGAATAGAGGTTCTGTGGTAAGTAACCTATCATAGGGGAAAACAGAGAGGTAAAAGAGAGAAACAAAAATAGGTCAAGCATTAACTTAAACCACAAAGAAATCATTTCTCACTAACCTTCGGGGGAGAAGGAATGAGTTGCTGGTGGTAACCATACAGATGTAAACCCAGATTTTGCAATGTCAGGAACTTTCCTTTCTAAATTTCTCCACCAATCATGTTTATGAGACTCCCAGTTAAAACCCTGTTGAGAAAATTTTCAGCCAGATCTGAACACTTGACACTTACACTTATATCCAGGATTCAGCAGTTGAATTTGAGATATGGTATGAACACTTTTACATAATCATGCCCTTCTGATATAACCATAATCCACAAGCTGGATCTTTAGTCAGATTTTAGGAAGAGATATATTGGATCTGCAAAAGCATTCATGTTCTCTGTACAAATTAAGACAGGCCACCATTATCCAATTTACCTGAAGAAGAATTTCACGTCCATTGTGGAGTACTGCACCTGAAATTAAATCCGAAAGCATAACAAGTATTAAACAAAGATCATTTATTTTTCTCCAGAACACAAATCTCATATTGTGTATCTAATCTGGCAGCTTTTGATGTATCATATGTTTTACTCTCAATATCAATATAGATGTGACACAGAAATGTGGATCATCTAAGCTTCTCAGCCAGTTATCTACTGTCTCTTAAATTGAAAGATTGTATTCTTAAAGCTGGAATGTTAGCCACAAATCCTGTTGAAATACATTGACACACTTTAGTGAATGACAGCAGCAAGCTAATAAAATATTGCTCTTATCATCGAGTTCCTTCTTTAATCCTGGACATTTTGAGCTTTCAACAACAACAAGTAACAGTATCGCACAAACATGAATATACCAAGCCTACAAGTTTCCAACTGAATTACCAGACCAGAATATCTATATCTTGAGAGTAGATTAAGTTTCCAATATATGTGCCTGACCTAACCTAACCCATGCCAAAACCATCACTGTCATAATTAAAGAAACAACTATATAGAACCAAGCAACAAACTTTCCAAGCAAAAGCATCAACATACCAATATCAGTTTGCTGATTATTTTCATCAGAACCCTGTATTATCACAAAAGATATAAGATTAGAGATAAATAAATGCAATAATAACGTCAATCCACTAGATTCTAGTAGGAGAATACTGGTAAAATAGTTAAGAAACCAGATATAATCAGACCACGAATAACCATGTTAAAAAAAAAATGGAGCAGCAACATACATTGCTGGTATAACCCATATCGAATCAAGGTGTAGCTGCCCAAAGTATGACGCTGGATCGTACAAAGAGAAACCTGCCTCCAAAATCAAAATCCAATAAGGCGTTCTATTCACTAACAAGAGTATAACCGAATTAAGCAATGATATACATCTCAAAATTTTACCATATATTTATGTAGATGACAGAGATATTTGTTTTGCAGACATAATCAAAATAAAACTCAACAACAAAGTTTAATCATGAATCAAAATACCCCAGATATTGATGATTAGAGAAGGAAAGCATACCGAAATTTATGTTTCGATCGCAGCGCAAACTTCAGCTCTTATGTTTTGAGGTATTTATAGAAATCCAAAAAGTACTGGATGCGACATAAAAGGATTCGATGCAGTTCCACCGTGAAATGAAATGAAAAGCGATCAGAGAATTTCAATTTTTGTATAGTAACAGATTCGATTATGCAACCACAATAAGCGAATCTGAATATTATTGATTGTACCGGGATGATAAAATATAGAAAGGGAATCAGCTTTTGGAATGGGAGAGAAAGTGTTCATATTTTAAACGGCAAATAGCAGCGCCAATTAAAAGGCTCGAATTCTCTCCTGCTCATTTTGAATATGTTTTTAACGGTTGATATTTAAAGACGGTTGCGCGTCAGAATAGATAGACGGTTCAAATTGTGAAGGACCATACGGCTGCCATGTTTAAGATACACCGTAACGGGAAAGCTTAGAGAGTAAGCCATTACGCGGGAATGGAATACTGTTCGTTATGATGTGACTTCAACGGTGTAATTCTTCCTCAAGAAAATCACAAAATTACCCCTTAATTAATTCCCTGTGTCATAATCTCAGGAGTCTTACTGTCTTAGTCATGTAATTGCAATAACATAAACTAAGGAGGACTAAAATAAATAAGTAAAAAACAAACAGAATAAAGAAGGCTAAAATGAGAACTTTTATTTTTATTAACTCTTTCTCTTAAATGTGCTGTGTAACCAACTCACCTCCGATAAATATTAATTATCTAATAATAAATTATAGATTATGTGTTTTCACATGAACTTGTATGGTCATATGTTTTCAACCTTATGTATTGGGTCATTGCCACATTAGTTTAGGCAGGAGCATTTCAAACTTCCTCATTGGGCTTTGTCACTGTTCTTTCGGCCTAATGCGCTTAATATTTTACCCCAAAGTTACCAAGGATAACAGTATATAGCATTGAAAAACTGAAATATAATGAAGGATTTATTAATGGCTATGGGGTCGTTTCCATCAAAGCAAGGCATAATAATGAATGGTATTCCACATTGCCAATTTCGAATTAAGAGCAACGACACTCAATTTTGTTTACCGATCAACTACGAAGAATTAATTGTTGGAAATTTTAATTTTCAGATTATGGACCAACATTAATTTCATTTTGATTTAATAAAATTAGGTAAATATATAATCCTATGAGATATTTTTATTGAGTTTAAAGTGATCATAAATTATAGCTCAATACACTTCATTATTGAATAATTTGGGCTAACAGTAAAAGTGTGGACTTTTGAGTTTACTAGGCCGATAATGAAAGGGATCAATAAAACATTATATATTGGTTAGGTCCCTTTTCTGAAACAAATTAACGTACACTTTACATATTTGGATGTTAATTCAATGTTCTATTTTCTATGTGTGATCTTGCAATTATTTAGATGTTGAATTTCCACGTTTTCTAACATTAATTACTTAATATACAAGGTAAGTATTGAATGAAGGCCAGTTAGACAAATAACTTTTTTATAAATTTTGCTAATTAGCTAGGAATGTCAATTGCCTTTACCACTTGGTTTGTAGTTAGATGACAAGACTTTAGCCATATGGGTTAATTACTTAGAGATCTTGTGTTTGAGTCCCACAAAATGACCACCTACCAAAAAAATGATGCCATTGCCTTTTAAGCAAAATTAAGTGGGGATTGGGGAATAAAATGTAACTCTTTATTCTAAAACAAGTTAAAAGATCATACAACCTTCGCGAAAACTGCCCTCCTTATTTTCCCAAAACTTAATAAGAGGGTTAAGTATTAGAATAAAAAGGGTTTAGATGAATAACTTTTGAACTTCTCAATCTAAGAATAATATGAAAACATCTTTTTGTCCACTGTTTTCTACGAGACTCCTTGTATCATATAGGGTTCTTTGGGTGAAGTAAAAGCAAGGGATACAATGATTTTGTCTAAAAAGAGCATGCATAGGTAAGATATATTTCAATAAACTTCAGGAGCTCATTTTAATAAAAAGAGCCCCTTTATCAACTTGAACTCTTATTATTAACTTGCATGCTGCAGAAATGGATTCTTCCACAGAAGATATTGATGCTAGGCATGGACGCAACGCAGAGCTTTATAATGCTCTGATGATCGATGAAAATCAGAACAAGGTGATTGAGCTCTGCAGTAAAGTTCCAGATCATGCATTGCATATACTGACAGTACATGATGACACAGTATTGCATATGGCTACTTATTCCAAAAAGAGCAAGTTAGTGCTCTCACTACTAGAAGAGTTGCCAGATAATTGTCTTGACAAAATGACCCGTCAAAATAAAGCTGGAAACACTATTCTTCACGCCACTGCTACCAGCGACCATGCCCTTCATGTCGCGAAGGAACTGTTAAAGAAAGCGCCGGGGTTGCTGGGAATGCGCAACAACAGTGGAGAGACTGCTCTCTATCATTCAGCACGCTCTGGTAAAACTGAGATATTCCGCTTTCTTGCTGATAAAATCCGTGGTTATGATCAAGTCAGTAAGCAATCCTTCCTCCAGCGGGGTGATAAAACCACCGCCCTTCACATTTGTGTCCTTTTTCACCACTTTGGTAAGTTTCCATTTTCTGCGGCCTTCTTATATCATTCAATTGATTTGCATACAAAAATTCTGCATTCACTGGCCCTTTTAATTAGGATTGGAAAGGGTCAATTAAATATTTAAATTTGAAAAGAAAGTTTTGACTTTTGAGCCTCCCTATCCTCATGTGCCTTTGTTATTATAGTTAATTTATTCAATTACCGAATTCAATAACAGAATTGGCCCTGCAAATTGCAAAAGATCATCAGTTTTTGATTAACGAGAAAGATACAGATGGACTGACCAGCCTTCAGCTTCTCTCCTTAAAGCCAGAAGCTTTTAAACGCAAACATGGAGATGGATTTCTCAAGAAACTCATCAACAGTGGTAATTAAGCTTACTACTCCTAGTATAATCTAAACTGAGCTGAGATTTTGTCCCTATGCTTTCCTTCAAATTTTCATATATTATGAGGTATTTTTCGATGTGTTTTCCTCTTTCATTCACTGAACTTTGAAATTAAAGTTAGCTTTCTTCTTTATTGGCTGCTAATTAATTAAGAATCTCATACCATCAAAGGAAATTATATGATAACACATAAGGTGCGTTTGGTTGCGAGAATTATTACTAGGAATGTTATATTAATAGAAAGATAAGATTACCTTGAAGACTACTAATAATATTTAGGGAAATGTGTTTGATTAGGTTGGAATAAATTGATTGGTATGTTATATTTATATATTTGACTGGAAGGAATAAATTGATGGATATGTTATATAGATTACTAAATTGACCTTCTTTTTTAGTATTATTTTTTGAATCATTTTTTTTA